TGGGCAAGCAGTGGGCACTCACTAAAGATGTCAGCAGACACGTCTTGTCACACAATTCCTAAAAATAACCGTGCCCTTTGTAGTGGACACAGCAAGCTCTCGTCCATTAACACTGGGCCTGGCCCCCCTTACACACTCATTTCCCCCAAAGATGCTTCACACACCAGGCTTCAGTTCCTGCCTGCCTGATCTCCTCGTGAAGTTTCCAGTTTCTTCTCCACCCAAACCCTGAATCTCACCCCTCTGTCTTACAAGCCAGCCTCCACTGAAGAGCTCATGTTCCTGAGTGCTTCATCTGACTTTTCTGCTGCTAAGACAGTGAGACCTTCAGGAGCACAATCTCAAAAAAAAAAAAAAAAAAAAAAAACAACAAAAAAAAACTAACACCGATGAACACAGAGCCAGCCTTGACCCTGGCACACCCCTAAAGCTTTCTGGTTTCTTAGTAACACATCCTCGATATCAACAAGAACATAACAGCTCCCCCACTAATCTCAAAACCCTTCCACAAATACCTTGTCATCTGATTTTCTGTTGGAGGCAACCATTTATCATCCAGAAAACTGGAACCATGTGACTACATGGCTTATCTTATCTCGGTTAGCGAGAAGATGAAAACTGTCCTCTATTCCTCTAATTCTTTTTTATTACTTTATGGGTGCTATGCCTGCATCTGTACACAGTTATATGACTGGTACCCTCCAGGGTCAGAAGAGAAGTCAGGTCCCCTGGTTGTTACAGATGGCTATGAGTGGGCCTCGTGGGTGTTTGGAATCAGACCTAGGGCCTTTGTATAAACAAGTGCTCTGTGGTTGTTTGAACAGAGAATAGTCCTCATAGGCTCATATGTTTGAATAGTTGGTTTCCAGCTGGTGGCTATTTGGAAGGATTAGGTGTGGCCTTGCTGGAGAAGGTATGTTATTGGGAGTGGGCTTTGGGGGTTCAAAGGACTCACACCATTCTGAGTTAGTCTCCCACGGGCTGAGATGTGCGCTGCCAGCTGTTTCTGCTGCTACGTGACTTTGCTCCACCATCACAGACTCTAATACTCTGGAGGCAAAAGCCTTATCTATCAAAATGCTTTCTTTTATACGTCTACCTTAGTGTCGGTGTTCTGTCACAGCAGTGGAAGAGTAACTGACATGTGCTCTTAAGCACTGAAACAACTCTCCAGCCCCTAACTGCTCAGCTGACTGCTAAGCAGTTTACATATCAGTGTGGGTAGGATCATCAAGAGCTGACTGCTCATTCCACCGTATAACAACAACCAACCAAACAAGTGACCCCAAGACCTTTTGCCTGATGTGGGCCAACTGGTTCTGAGGTTATTTGGAAGGTTCCATTCCAAACAGCATTCAACAACTGCTCTTACAAATGCCAGCTCCCACCAAGAAAACCAGATTTCATTTATCCTCAGAGATAATGTCCTATTTAGGTATCCCTCAAAGGGGCTCAGTGGGTATTCTGAAGAAAGATTCAGAGAGTGGAATATGTTCCCCTGGCTGAGCTTGTGAAGTATAACCACACCCAGACTCTCCCGGCCTCAGAGACCAAATGCCAGGAACTGCTCTGGGCTCAAGAGGAGAAAAGCAGCTAAGGGAAGCAGAGAAGGTCGCAGGCCTTCTGGAAACAAAGCATGCAAGCCCATACACCCTGGGTTTCTTTCCCCTCTCTCTGGCAGAGTTCCTCCTCTCTCCTGTCATCCCAAACCGCCTATTACTCCCTGGGGTCACAACACCAGGCATCACCGAGCAATCGAAGCCTTCTAGACAATGCAACTGACCTGAGATGGACCTTTCTCTTTTCCTTGTCAAGGCTCCGAAAGAGCTCAAACAGCCCAAACAGCCGAACTTGCTTTTGTTTTAAACAAATGTTTCAATTTTACCTGTGTGCCTGTGTATGCATGAGCCTGGGTGAGCCACTCAGCAGCGGGTGCCTTAGCCAAGGTCTCATGCAGCCCAGACTGTATTCCAAGCCACTAGGCATCGTCCGTGTCCCCTCCCCCAGGAGAACACTTGGTGTTAATTAAAGTTACCGATTGTGTATGCTCGTGTGCAGGGTGGGGATGGGAGAAGTACACACCACCGTACTTGTGTGGGGCCAGAGGAAACCCCGTGAACATCAGTTTTCTACCTAAGTCATCTCTCTGGCCCCAAATTCATTCTGTATCTAAAACTGGCTCTGAACTCCTGATCTTCCTGCTCAGTCTCTTGAGTTACAGGTGTGTGACCCCGCACCCAACTCTCAAAAGGTTGAACTTAAGTCTTTCAGCCTCTCTCCTTCTTCCTCCTCAGTCTGGGTTCATTTCCACTTCACTTCCCCACTATTCTGATTATCCTATAGCTCCAATATGCAAGCCACAAAGACATTACTTTCTTGCCTGCCTCTCATCCAACTGACATTTCCTGCACACTTGAAGGAAAGGCCCAAGGCTGGGTGGGGGTGACACATGCTTTAATCCCAGCACTCAGGAGGCAGAGGCAGGTATATCTGTGAGTTTGAGACTAGCGTGGTCTACCGAGAGAATTCCAGGACAACCAAACTATAAAAAAAAAAAAAAAGAAAAGAAAAGAAACCCTGTCAAAACGAAACAAACAACAAACTAAAAAGGCCCACCATGGGCAGTTTGAGAAACCAAAACATGACTCAGAAAGTTTCCATGCTCTAATAACACAAGAATAAGACCCATGGTCATACAAATCCTTCCGAGGCCAGTCCCGAGAACTGGGCCAATGACAGAGTGGAGGAAGAGGGCATGTCCTGTCCCTCCTACGGGGGAGTAAAAATGGCTTGTCAATAAGAAATAGGCAAAATGGAGGAGAGATCACTCTTCCAGCAGGCCCTGCCTTGTGTTTTACGCCTGGGCACCATCCACCAGTAGTGCACAGATTCAGTTCACCAGCTGCCAACCCTTCTAACTGATCAGTACCTGAGCACTGCAGAGCTGCTAAAAACAGTGGCATTCACCAGGCAGTGGTGGCACAGGCCTTTAATCCCAGCACCTGGAAGGCAGAGGCAGGCAGAACTCTTGAGTTCAAGGCCTGCCTGGTCTACAGAGTGAGTTCCAGAACAGCTAAGGCTACACAAAGAAACCCTGTCTCTAAAAAAACAAAACACCAGAAAACCCATTAATTTGCTGGGCATAATGATGTATACCTTTAATCCCAGCACTCAGGAGGCAGAGGCAGGTAAATTCAAGGCCAGACTGATCTATACAGTAAGTTCCAGGACAGTCAGAACTGCACAGTGAAACCCTGTCTCAAAAACAAACAATCAAAAACTCAAGGGGCTGGAGTGATGGCTCAGAGATTAAGAACACTTGTACCCACACGGCAGTTCACAACTGTCTGAAACTCCAGTTCAAGGGTATCCAATGGCCTCTTCTGACATCCAAGGGCACCAGGCACCCCCATACTACACACACACACACACACACAAAGTAAAAATAGATTACCTCATAGGACTGGAGTGATGTCTCGGCAGAGGAGAGTGCATACTACTTGTTCAGAGTTTAGAGTCTGTGACTTACAACTACCTGCACTTTAACTCCAGCTCCAGGAGCCCTGAACACACTTAACTAAAAGCAATATAAATATTTGGGGGGAAGGGTTGTTTGTTTGTTTTTGGAGACAGGGTTTCTCTTTGTAGACCAGGTTGGCCTCCTACTCACAGAGATCCACCTGCCTCTGCCTGCCCAAGTGCTGGGATTACAGACGTGCATTGGATACCACACCCAGCTTAAATGATATTTTTAAAATATTACTTCCTGGCAAAGTTGCACACACCTTTAATCCCAGCACTCGGGAGACAGAAGTCTCTAAGAGTTTGAGACCAGCCTGATCTACAAAGCAAGTTCTAGGTCAGCCAAGACTACATAGGGAGACTTTGTTTAAAAAAAAAAAAAAAAAAACCCACACACCACCCACCCACACACACACATAAAATTAACTTGCTGAATCCTCACACTAAGTCTATGAAACAGGAATTATAATTATCCCCATTTTGTGGATGAGGAAATCAAGGTCAGGAAGGGATGAAAGAACCCAAAGTGGGCACCTGTGTTAGAGCAACAGCCTGCCCTGCACTCACTCCCCTGGCCAAGCACTACCAAGCACTATGCTGCCTTGAGGGAACGGCCCTGTTAATCCTCCTGGAATTCTCAACAACTGACTGGAGCAAGGACGCAATGAAGGAGCATAATGAGAGCAAGCTGAGGGTGAGGTAGACAGCTGACCCTGCCCTGCAAGGCTCCAGGCATGTCCAACCTTTTGACAATGACACACGCTGTCCTCTACAAAGTTGACACTTGAAAACAGCCCAATCCGGTTACAAAGAAAAAGAAAAAACCACGATGTTAAATTTATTGATTTTTGTGTAGGGCCATATTTGTAGCTTTTTTCTTAACCATGCAGCCCCGGGGCAAGCCATCTCATAGAGCCTTATTACCCCGGCGGGGCAGCAGGGAGCAGCTACTGGAGTCCCGTGAAGGGAGCAAACGGCCTAGGCTGACACTCCAGAGCAGGGTCCGAGAGACCCAGTCTCCACAGACACACGCTGATCAGCGGGCGGGGAGAGAAATCCCCGGAGCGAACGTGCTGTTCTCCCCCGAATCTGTTTTCTCCTGTTTAGCAGCCTGGCCTGCGCTCACGAGGACTGGGGTCTTGAGAACTCTGGAAGGAGGCTGGGGCCGGCGCCCAGGGACCTTGGCTGGTGAGCGGGGAGGAGGGCAGGCAACCCCGCGCCTGGCACAGCCTCGCCTTCTCGGACCACTCGGGAGCCCGCCTTATATAAACGCAGGCGGCGGGTCCAGGAACGCGCGCCCGGCAGTTCCGGAGCCAAGTTCCACAGACAGCCTCCTCGGCCGGCCGGGCTCGGCTCAGCCTCTCCCGGAAGCAAGCGCCCCGAGAAGGGGAGACTGGCGCACGCGGGAGCCCTGCGCCCCCAGCTCACCTGCCCGGACCCCGCCCCACCCCACGCCGCCCGCCGAAACCCTCACGCACCTGGCACCAGAGTCCCGGACACGGAGTTCGTTCGGACGGCAGCTCCCCCCGACGCTGGCTCTCCCGGAACCCGGACGGCGAGCGTCTGCGTACGGTCGAAGGAGGAGCCCGCGGGGCGCAAAACTCTCCGGCGCCGCCGCCTTAATCGCCCCGGGGCGGGGCCTCGCGAGGGGCGGAGCCTCGCGGGGCGGGGCCCTCCGGAGGGGCGCGGTGCCCGGGACCACGCCCACAGGTGAGGGCCGCCCTCGGACCGCGGCTGCGTAGGAAGCCCGGGGCCCTCCCGAGAGGGTGGGGCCTTCGCTCCGGTGTGTGCTTCTAGAGCTCCGACAGTGAAGAAAACCTTAAAAGGTCACAGCGCGTGCAGGACAGGAGGAACCTTCATAATGGAAACAATTACTAACGGCCTCATTCGGTGATCAGGGCCAACAGCAGCAGCGATGAGTTGCACTGATCTTCTTCTGTCCTGTGGTTCCTTCCTCCCTGTGACACATGACTCCAGCGTAATCGTGCAAAAACATCAGACCAGCCCCATGCGAGGAACTCACGACTGTCCATGGAAAGGTCATCTAAACAAGGAACGCCCGAGAAGCTGTCACACGGAGCTATAAAAACTAAATAACGTTACATCTGGGATGGGATGGGGGGGGAGGACCCTAGGTTAAACACCGGTGACAATGGGCTGGTGATGGCTCAGCGCTAAGAGCCTTGTCTGCTCTCCCAGAGGTCCTGGGTTCAATTCCCAGCAACCAGAACAGGGTGGCTCACAACCAGTCTACACTGGGATCTGATGCCCTCTTCTGGCATGCCGGTGTACATGCAGATAGAGCACTCATATACATAAAATAAAATCTTCAAAAAAACAATGACAGCTAAAAGGTATATAGATTTCAATAACAATACATCAGTATTGGCTCATTCATTGTAGCAAAACTACGAGTATGTTAATGACAGAGTGTTTTATTTGTTTGTTTAGAAAGAGGTTCTGTAGTGAAACATGATTGTGTAACATATTTTTAAAAATTAAAAATCCTCTCACTCTCCCCAGCTCACTTTTAGGCGCCGCGTTCTAGGTGTCTGTCAACACACTGTCTACACGAGCGTTGTTTAGGGTGCCTAGGTAAACGTGTTTGTTTACAAAACAGGACTGCAGCCCTTTTTTCCTCTCTGTTTCTTGGAGTGTCCTTCCAGCGGGCGCCCGGGGCTCGCCAGGTCCTTCCCAAGGACTGCACAGTGTGCTCCCTTCCCGCTTGCGGTCCAGTTCGGTAGTGTCTAGCTCCCAGCTGGTGCGCACTCACTGCATGGCCTACTTTTGTCTTGAAAACTAGCCACGAAAGGAGCCTCGCGGACGGGTGTATTTCGGTGGTCTGCCCTGCACCGGGAGGGCTCCGCGTGCAGGCGGGAGCAGCGCGGGACGGCCTGGCTATGGACGCACACACGGCTGGTTCTCTAGGGCTGCCCTTTGTAGCCGAACACGTGCCCCTGCAGGCAGAGCTCCCTCCGGATTGGATAGCGCGCTTCGGAGGCAAGCGGGGAAACTCGGGCAAAGGATTCCAGAGTGAATGAAAAAAGGAATAAAGAGGAAAGGAACGCGGTTGCCCCTAGGTATGGTGGAGAAGAAAGTTCATGGTAGATAAAAGGAAGACATAGTCAGAGGCGGACACGTCTGGGAAAGTCCTGAGTGGTCATGACCTGAGCCACGTGAGGAGATAGGGGAGGGGAACCAGGAACGGCAACCCGGAGGTCAAAGGCACAGAAAAGGGGGCGGGGAACCAAAACGATTGGATTAAGTAGGGAAGAGCAGCCCAGCCCCCTGAGCTGGAGAGTTCCGGGTAGAGGGCCAGGTAGGCCAGGTAGGGATTGAGGGGTTCTGGGAGAACCCGGCGGCCAGGTCCGCTCTGATAGGTTAAGTAGGCACGTCAGCCTGACACTTAACGCAGAGAAGCAGATAGAAAAAAGACGAGCAGAGGGGCAGAAAGAACAGGAACTGGCTGTTATAATTGCTGGACTCACATGAAGTCCGCCACCAAACCAGCTCCAAGCTTTTCTGGACTTTAAGGAGCTGCGGTCACCCAGCACTCTCTCAGAGGCAGGGGAATTCTCCAGGGAATGTCACCTGGTTGCGACCCAGCTCCTCTGCCCCAGTCCTGCTCAGTTGCTCACCACTGCAAAGGCGGGCTTCTGATGGCCCACTCTTCTCTGAAGTGGAGCCAATGCTTCTTGGAACGTGACGTGTGAAAGACAAATCGATTAGGGCAGTGTTTCTCAACCTGTAAGTCGCGACCCCTCAGAGTCAAACAACCTTTTCACATCTGCAAACCAGATATTTACATTTCATAATAGCAAAATTACAGTTACAAAGTAACAACAAACATTTTTGTAGTTGTGGGTCACCACAACCCTGGAATTGTATTAAAGGGTCACATTAGGAAAACGGAGAACCACTAGTTTAGGGTGAAACTCCTCTCTGTGACACATACCTTTCTGCCTCAGAGCTCTTCAAAGCCAGAATGTCGAATAAACTGCCTTTTGTAATTTTTCCTTTTTTATTATTATTATCATTTATTACAATTTATTCAATTTGTATTCCGGCTGTGGCCTTCTCCCTGGCCCCCTCCCTAGTCTCCTCCCAATCCCACTCTCCCTCCCTCTTCTCCCCCTATGCCCTTCCCCTAGTCCACTGATAGGGGAGGTCCTCCTCCCCTTCTTTCTCTCAGGTCTTATCAGCCTTTTATAATTTTAATCCTTTTTTTTTTTTAAGACAGAGTCTTAGGTATTGCAGGCTGGCATGGAACTAACTGATTATGTAGGTGTGAGTACAATCCCTGAAAAGAAACTGTCTGGCTGTGAACAACGATAACAGAAGAAGAAGAAAAAAAAGAAGAAGAAGGAGAAGAAAAAAGAGAAAGAAAGAAAAACTTCAGTACTGTGGTGAGATTAGAATCTTGCAGGCTCAGCCAAGCAGTGGTAGCTCATGCCTTTAATTCCAGCACTTGTAAGGCAAAGGCAGGCGAATCTATGTGAGTTTGAGGCCAGGCAGTTCTGCAGAGCAAGCTCCAGGCCAACAAGGGATACCCAGAGGAACCCTGTCTTGAAAAATGAAAAAAGAAAAAAAATATATATATATATTCCAGAACAGCCTTGCCCCACTCTGTATGTGAATTAACACCTCACAATAAAAAATAAAAACCTCTTAGAAGCTATTAACTTAGAACTAAAAAAAAAAAAAAAAAAAAAAAACACCTTAGAAACTATCAACCTAGCAGAACACTAGCTTCTACCAATCTAAGAGCTAAGAATGTGGTCAGATAACATCTTGAGCCTATAGACTAGCTCCCTATCTCTTTGTCCTTCTGTTAAACCCAAACATGTGAGGAGAAAGACCACCGACCCAAACCATCATGGCCAGATCAATTCAAGCAGGCAATTAATTCAAGCAGCTTTTTTTATTCCTGTATACAGGCTGCCTCCCCCTAAGTAGGGATTCTAAGTGAGCACTCTATAAACTGAGCTGTATTTCCAGCCTCAACCTTTTATTTTCAACAAACTTGTTGCAGCCCTGGCTCAGGGTCTGTGAAGTGCTAGGGGCTGAGTTGGTGCTTCCGGCTCTGTAAGCCCAGTCCCAGGGGCAGTGGCAGGAGTCACCCGGGCAATGCTGGGTGAGTGAAAAGGTGTGAAACTTGGTGTTTTAATCTCGTTCTGACATTTATCAGTGATGCTGGCGTAGTTAGGGCTTAGTGCTGTGAAGAGACACCGTGACCACCGCAACTCCCATAAAGGAAAACAGTTAACTGGGATTGGCTTGCTGTTTCAGAGGTGTGATCCATTATTGTCTTGGGAGGAAGCATGGTGATGTGCAGGCAGACATAGCGCTGGAGAAGAACTTTGAGAATTCTACATCTGGATCTGAAGGCAACAGGAAGAGAAAGGGTGCCTCTGGGCCTGGCCACAGCATTTGAAACCCCAAATTCCACCCCCAGTGACACACTTCCTTTAATAAGGCCACGATTACTCCAACAAGCCACACCCACTAATGCCACCCCCTAAGCACTCAGATATGAGTCTATGAGGGTCATCTTATTCAAACCAGCATAGATGGATGCTGCCAGCTTTGGCTTTCTTGCCTATAAATTCTTCTTCCATAGCGTGACACAGCTTCACTGTGCTCAAGATGCTACAGATACAAGAGAAAGTAAATGCTCAGGAGGAGCATGGTATTATCCACTCGCTTTCTTACATCAAACTATTCAATACATAATAGTTGAGTACACCTAAGGTGACTTTCCCAGGGCTTAGGAGGCCTAGAACACAAGTATCATTGCAAGTTCCTGTAAGAAAAATGAGGCAGGAGAGGAGAGGAGGGAGGGGCTTATGGGGGATATAAAGTGCAATTAATAAAAAATAATTTAAAAAATAATAATAAAGAAAAATGAAGCAGAGCTGGTACACCCCTTTAATCCCAGCACTGGGGAGGCAGGGACAAGCAGATTTCTGTGAGTTTTCAGCCAGCTTGGTCTACAGAATGAGTTCCGGGACAGCCAAGGCTGCCACACAGAGAAACCCTGGGGGTGTGGGGGAGATACACATAGATGAGGTAGAGAAGCAGGGATTAATTTCACTACGCCGAGACTGCTTTATTGGAACAGTGCGGGGCCTCAACCTTTCTGCAGGATGAAGGCTGAGAATGCTTACAGGGGCTAGGGCACACACAAAGGTAACTAACAGGAGATCACGGGTATTCTTTTGTGGCTTAACTAGAAGCAGGGCGATTTTGATACCTGCGTAGATTGTTTCTGCAGGTGGATGGAAACGGTCAGGCTGGGGCTATGTCATTCTTTATGACTAGAGGCCATTGCCCAGAGCAACCTGACTCAATTCCTCATGGCCTGAGGCCGTCACCCAGCAGATCCTCTAGCTAGGTATGTTGGCTCATGGCTACTATCCCAGCACTCTGGAAGTTGAAGCAAGCAGCCTGCTGATGCAATGAGGAGGCAGTCTAGGCTACATAGTAATTTGCAGTGGAGGAGAGGGGAATTCTTGCCTTCTTAGTGCAAGTGTGTCTAATGGGGAAACAAATGC